TCTCTGTCTTTCTCCCCAGTACAAGGCCTGTGGGAACATGGACCTTGTTTATTTGGCTCATTTCTATATACCCAGACTCTATAACAGTATTTGGCACATAGTAGGTGCTTATAAAAATATATATATTGAATAGTTGAATATATATAGTTGTAAATATATAGTACAGTACTACAAGTGTTCAATAACTTTCTTTCACTTAGTGACAGTTAATATAGACATTGCCTTATTCGTTTTAATTGCATGGTATTTTATAGTATGAATTACCATAATTTGTTTAGTCATTTGCCTTGTGGGGAAGATCGAGGATGCTTTCAAAGTTTTAATATTTTGAACAATGCTGCAGCAGACATCTTTATCTATCCCTTGGAGCACATGAATCTATGATTTTCTGAATAAAATAAAAAGTGTTGGGGCAAACGTTATGTGCATCTTAATCTGGACGAATGCAACCTTAAAAGGTTGTGACAGTTTATGGTGCTACCCACAGTGAATGGGAGTGTGGATTCCCTACGGTGCATCACTGCTTTGTTAATCACCTTACAATGCCTTTCCGATCTTCGGGACACAATTTCCATTTTTGCTTGAACTTGGATTATCCCGATTTCTGTGGAGCTGTGCTTATCTTTCCATGTTTATTGGCCATTTGGCACCTTTCCTGTGAATAGCCCAGATAAAGTATTTGAGCATTTTGTCTACTACACTTTTTCCCTTTTAAAAAGTAATTTATCTTAATTGCATTTTATATATTCTGGATATTATTTCTTTACCTTTTAAAAAGTATTTTTTTTAATTCTGTGTAGGGTGATTTTTTTGTTTTTGGTATTTTACCTGGGTTTTGGCACTTTTGTCATACAAAAGTTTTTAGCTTTAATATAGTCAAATACATCCTTTGTTTTTTCTGTTCGGCTCCCTCCAATTTTGTATTTTGCTTAGAAAGCTCTTTGCAAGCTTAGAATTATAAAAATACTTTCCTATATATTTTTAGTGCCTTCATCATTTCATAGGCTATGCTTTGTTAATTCATTTGAAACTTATTGTTTTTTATGATGAGACAGGAATATTATATTTTATTTTATTCCAAACAGATAACTTATAGACATCAATCTACTTAACTCCACTTATTGATCGATCAAACTTTCCCCAAATTCCATCATTATATATACATGGGTCTAATTGTGTACTCTTGATTCCATTGTTTCACAATTTTCAGTCATTTGAATACTATCTTCATCATTTCTGTTATATTCCTGTTCCATTTATTTACTTAATATTATAGCATAATACATTTTAAAATTAATACTTACTTTAGCTTCATGCTAAGCACATAAAATCATAGGTTTAACTTTCTCTAGCAAATGTTAAATAAGTGCTTACTTATTGACATGATGAATGTTTATTTACATGCCATTTTAAATCGCCTTACAAACCATGGGTGCAGAGGCACTTTGGGAAACACTATTGCATTCTTTCCTCTAACGCAGCGGTTCTCAACCTGTGGGTCGCGACCCCTTTGGGAGTCGAATGACCCTTTCACAGGGGTCGCCTAAGACCATCGGAAAACACATATATAATTACATATTGTTTTTGTGATTAATCACTACGCTTTAATTATGTTCAATTTGTAACAATGAAACTGGGGTCACCACAGCATGAGGAACTGTATTAAAGGGTCGCAGCATTAGGAAGGTTGAGAACCACTGACTTAAATGAAGCACTTTATGGCTTCTCTTTGGCTTATCTGAATTGCCAGCTTCATTACTCTGGTACTCCTAAGGCTTAGGAAGAGCCACACTCAAGGGGCCAAAGAGCCGCATGTGGCTCGCGAGCCGCAGTTTGCCAACCACGGGACTAGACTACAGACCTTTCTCAGATTTTGCCCATTTTTGCCTGCACTTATATTTTGTCTTTATATATAGTCAAATGACATTTTATCGCATTTATAGATTCATGTAACTACCACCACAATCAAGATACAGAACCATTAGTCACCATCAAGGAGCTTCCTCACAGAACCCTTCATAGTCACACCCTCCCTCACCTAACCCCCCTGGCAACCATGGATCTGTGGGCCACTCTATAACTTTGTCATTTTAATAATGTTATAGAAATGGAATCATACAGTACAGAATCTTGGGAACTGACTTGTGGTTTTTTTTTCCTCACTTAGCATAATGACCTAGAGATTTGTCCAAATTGTCATGTCTATCAAAAGTCATTCCTTTCACTTGCTGGCTAGTGTCCCACGGTGTAGCAATACCACAGTTTACCACTCACCTACTAAGGGACATCTGGCTTTTTTTTTCCTATTTGGGGACTATTACAGCTAAAACTGCTATGAACATTCATATTTAGCTTTTTTTTAAATCCTCACCTGAGGATATATTTTTTTTACTGATGAGAGAGAGAGAGAGAGAGAGAGAGAGAGAGAGAGAGAGAGAGAAACATTGACATGAGAAACATTGATCGGTTGCCTCCCCTATGGCCCCTGACTGGGAATCGAACCTGCAACCTTTTGGTGTACCGGAGGATGCTCTAACTAACTGAGCCACCCAGCCAGGGCATCATGTACAGGTTTTGATGTGAACCTAAGCTTTTGTTTCTCCTGGATAAATGCTCAGGGGTGTGATCACTGGGATCCATGGTAAGTATGTGTTTAACTATTTAAGAAACTGCCAGATCGGTTTCCAGAGTGGCTGAGCCATTCACATTCCTCCCAGCAGTGTCTGAGGGCTCAGGTTTCTCTGTATCCTCACCAGCATTCGGCACTCTCCGTGTGTTTTGTTACCTATTTTAATATATGTTCCTGAGGCTTTGATCCATCTTTCCCTGATGGCTATTAATGTTGAACATCTTTTCATGTACTTATTTGTATGGCCTGTTATGACACCCACCAGGCAAGTCTGAGGTTGCCTTTCTTATATGGTTCCGGCCTCCCCTGGCCCTGAGAGGGAGGATGACCTTGACTGCTCCCCGAGTGGGAATGCTCCTCTTAGCTCTTCCACGGGCTGGAAGGGGTGGGGGTGATGGTGGGCGACTTGACCTCAGTGGTTAGGAGCACAGGCTCAGAGCTTCGGGTAGCTCTGGGTGGGCTTACTGGGGAGAGGATGTGACGCTCCCAGTACCACACCCCAAGACGCTGTCAATGAAAATCAATGCCGTTGGAGATGGAGTCACTTAGGCGTGGTGAGGCAGCTCTCAGACTGGGCTCCCACCTGGAAATAGTGGGACCCGGTCATAACAGAGTCACAAGTATGTCCGCACCTTTTCGGGCTGTAGAAGGAATTGGAGGGGAAGCTTGAGTTGCCCCAAAAGGCCTGTGGTTCCCACCAATATTCCAAGAGTGGGACTCACATCCGTCATGCTCTGCCCAGCGGTGGGGGGAGGGCCACCTCTGCAGCAGTGACTGTGTCTCCCCACCCAGACTCACCTTCTCCTGAGAGTTGACTATGAGCCCAAAGGTGCTAGAGAACCTCTGAGATCCAGGATAGGACTTGTGAGTCGGAGCCAAAGCACGTCCTGGAGGAGTGAACTGGCCCTGGCAGGAGCCAGGAGGAACCAAACTCATAAACCCTACGGTGAGGAGGAGGGTGCGAGAGTGGGGAGAGGTCTCAGGTTCACCCTCTAGAGCAGGGATTCTAAGGTAGCTCTGCCGTCGGTGGCTCAGAAGGAGCCTCCTGACAGTCACACATCCCACATGCAGGCCCTTCCCTATGTCTTCCGGGGCAATCATGATCTCATCCAGAAGGTTCCGTTTTCACCTGTGACCACAGTCCTCTTCATTACGACCTATGACTGAATCATTAAGGCTTACTAGAAGAGGGTATTCATAATGTAAAATAAGGGTGTTTCTAAAACTTACTGAACAATGTCAGTGGGACTTGGGTCAGCTACTTAAAATGTGTTTATTTGCCCGTCTGTAAAGTGGGGATAATAATAGTTCTAACTTCACGGAGTGACTGGAAGGGTAAAGGGTAAAACAGTGCCTGGCACCGAGGAAGCACTGTGTGAGCCGTTATCGAGACTAAAACATAAGCAGGGACTCCCCACCCCTGCAGGGGCTGGTGCTGCCTGTGCTTGATCAGGCTGCCTTGATGGTAAGTTTTCCCACTGACATTAACCTTCTTAGGAAATGGAAAATTTCTGTTAGCTCAGCTTTATTGTTATCAACAGCACTAGAGGCCCAGTGCACGAATTCATGCACCAGAGGGGTCCCCCCCCCACCAGAGGGGGCCTGCAGGATCAGGCTGAAACTGGCTCTCCAACATCCCTCCAGGGGTCCCGGATTGCAAGAGGGCAATCTGGCCACGGAGGGATGTGGGAGGTTGGCCAACTGGAGAGGGACCGCAGGAGGGCTCCAGGGCATGTCCGGCATGTCCAGCCTGTCTCGCTCAGACCCGATTAGCTGGACCCCAGCAGCAAGCTAACCTACCTGTTAGAGCGTCTTGCCCCTGGTGGTCGGTGCACATTATAGCGAGTGGTTGAGCGGACCCATCTTCTCCTCTGCACTTGAAGACTTGCTCTCTTTCCATTTGTTCCTCACTCTGCTGAGGGAACAGAATCCTGCCTGAGTCAGAATGAATCCTTTCTGTCCACGCTATGAAAGTAGACCTGATTGCCAGTTCGATTCCTGGTCAGGGCACACGCCCAGGTTGTGGGCTCAATCCCCAGTTGGGGGCATGCAGTAGGCAGTTGATCGATGTTTCTCTCTCATTGATCTCTCTCTCTCTCTTTCTCTCTCTCCCTCTTCCTTCTTCTCTCTCTAAAATAAATAAAAGCATATATATATATATGACCTGATGTTTGTACTGAGGCCCATTCACATACATATACCCGTTAGATACAATATATTGCCTTGGGCAACTAAGGAAGCTAGGTCCAGAGAGGGTAGGCCACTTGTCAGAGGTCACGCAGTCAGGCCCAGCCCAAGGAGTTCCCCTGTAATTAAGATGCTTATTGGTGGCCTAACTCCTTAACTGGTGAACTAACTTGCCTCCTTGCAGATGCCAAAGGGACCATCCGGGAAATTGTCCTGCCCAAGGGCCTGGACCTGGACCGGCCCAAGCGGACCCGCACATCCTTCACAGCCGAGCAGCTGTACCGCCTGGAAATGGAATTCCAGCGCTGCCAGTATGTGGTGGGCCGTGAGCGCACTGAGCTGGCCTGCCAGCTGAACCTCTCAGAGACCCAGGTAAGAGGGTATCGGGGCCACTGCACCCCTGCCCTGGCAGCCAGGGAACTCCTTCAGTGTGAGAACCAACCGTGGAGGAGTTCAGACATGCTTTAGGGGCATGCTTAAAGTTACAGGAAAATCAGAGAAAATAATTCCAGTGCTGACAAGAGAGAATTGGTATATGCCAGTGAGAGTCTTCATGATGCATCAGGCAATTTGGATGAAACGGGGAGAAACCTGGGGGGAGGGACACTCTTAATGCTGGGAGTGGCTTAGGGGGATGTTGGCAAGTGAGAGAGGCTTACAGAAAGGGATGGTGAGGGGTTGGGTTTGGGGAGAGAGAGATTTTACACAATTGGGACCTCAGTTCCCCATTCTGGGCCTTTTCCTCCCCTCCGTCACCTTCCCTTCATCCCAGTGTGGCTCAGAATCTGTTATAAGAGAGAAGGGGTCTGAATACCCCCTTCACCCAAGAATAGCATTTTAACAATAGTGTGCTCAACCCAAAGGCGAAGCTTTTGTAAACTGAGTCCCTATCCTGTGAGGGTGGAGGCATTTCAAGCTGGCGATAGAGCCGGGTCGTGACACAACAGCAATAATAATCATACTTACTGAGCACTCACTTCTGTCCAGGCACTGTTCTAAGTGCTCTGGATGATGCGTTTTTAGTTGGTGGTGATTTTTGTTATTTGTTTGTTTTTTCAGCCAAGAAAGTAAGGGTTTGTTAAGGAGAGGGAGCCGCGCCCAGAGTCACAGGTAGCTGTGTTCCACGGCCTGGCTCTCCGATGGCTGCCGGGGGTGGAACAAACATTCGTCATGGTGACAACAGCGTTAGGGTGCTGGCCTCCACTGAGAGCTGGTGCTCGGGCGGGCGTGATTGATCACTGCGTCTGGTCCTGATGGCAGCCTTGGAGCTGTTCCGCCCAATTTCACAAGGATTTGTTATGGGGATCGTTTCGCTTTCCCGGGTCCGGAGCTAAAGCACAAGATAGTCAGTTTCGTTTGATTGAAAACTGTCTCGGGAATCAGTAGACCCCGGACCTTGTTCCTGGATGCTGATCGGACCTCTTTGTCCTGAGGGCTTGATGATTAAGCAAGGGGTGGGGAGCCAGGTGCCAGGTGAGGCCGGTTTGAGGCAAAGGAAAAACATCAAAATAAAAGGCCAGATTAAAGAAAATCAGGTTTCTGTGTGGTTACAATTCTGGATATGTTAATTCGCGAATCCCTTCCAACAAACCTTTGATGTAGCTACCAGTATTATCCCTTTTTATTTTTTTAAAATATATTTTTATTGATTTCAGAGAGGAAGGGAGAGGGAGAGAGAAATAGAAACATCAATGATGAGAGAGAATCATTGATTGGCTGCCTCCTGCACAACTCCCACTGGGGATTGAGCCCACAACCTGAGCATGTGCCCTGACCAGGAATTGTGACCTCCTGGTTCATAGGTCGACGCTCAACCACTGAGCCACACCAGCCAGGCAGTATTATCCCGTTTTACAGATAAGGAAAGATTATACCTGGAGTCATACAACAAGTAAGTTCCAGAGCTGGGGTTGGGAGAAGCAGCCTGGCATCTTTTTTCTTTTTTAAAATATATTTTATTAATTTTTTTACAGAGAGTAAGGGAGAGGGATAGAGAGTTAGAAACATCGATGAGAGAGAAACATTGATCAGCTGCCTCCTGCACACTCCCCACTGGGTATGTGTCTGCAACCAAGGTACATGCCCTTGGCCAGAATCGAACCTGGGACCCTTGAGTCCGCAGGCCAACACTCTATCCACTGAGCCAAACCAGTTAGGGCAGCAGCCTGGCATCTTTATGCTGCGTGTAATCTGGGCGATCAACCTGGAGCTTGTCAGAGAGGGACTCGGAGATCCTTTGTTTAGCTTCAGCTCTAGTAGTTAAATCTCATACACAAGGGAGATCAGTCAACAGATGTATTGCAAACAAGGCCAAAGCAGGATTTATAGAGAGAAGAGAGGAAGGAGAGGAGTAGGAAGTCCATGGGCTGGAGGGGTACGCTTCCTGGGGAAGGCTGCGGGAGGGTGGTGAGGCCCCTCCCTGTGCTGCTGGCTGCTGTCCTGCCCCTGGCACCCCAGGTGCTGCAGTTAAGTCTGGATTGCACCACCTCCCTCACAGGAATTCCTCCGGCTCCTCCAGTCATGCTAACAGAATGCTGTCCAGTCCACCCTCACAGCAGGCAGTAAGATGTTCCTGGACTTCCCTGTCCTCCCGGAGTAAACCCTGAGTGGGGAAGAGAGCGAGATGAGGGAAAGGCAGGGAGGATGGGGCCTGCTGGCCAGGGCTGACGTCCTGCAGGCATCGGTGAGTCCTCTCCACCTGGACCGGTCTTCCTCCAGAGGCCTCTGCAGCGTCCCAAACAACCCAGCAGATGGCCCACCGTTCTTCCAGCTGGGCCCTCCCTCCAGCTGGGCTCAGCCTGGGACTAGAAAGCCAGGCTGTGGTCACCGAGGGAGCTTCCGTGAGTGGGCCCAGCCCATGTTCCTGGGGGGCCTCGGGGGACACCCTCAAACTCTGAAGTCTAGGCAGAGTCACCCCCAATACCTACCCCTCCTCTCTGTCCTAACTACCCTCTGCTTCACCTAATTTTTCCCCCAAACTCTCCCCTGAAACTTTGCTGTCCAAGGGCACCTCAGATGTCCAGGGCAGTAGCTCCTCTCCGTCCTCATCCTTCCCCTGCCCTGCCCCCATGCACACTGCATTTCCTGCCTTTGAAGGTCAAAGCCTTCCCTAAGGCATCTTCACTTTCTCCCAAGAGACCTTTCCCACATGGCTTGACCTGTAAAGTGTGTGTGTGTGTGTGTGTGTGTGGTATTTGCGTGTGTGTGTGTGTGTGGTATTTGTCTGTGTGTGGTACTTGTGTGTATGTGTGTATGTGTGGTATTTGTGTGGTCTCAGTAGCTAGAGACCAGATAATCTCCAAATGCATGCATAATTCTAATATTGCAGGAATAAAGGCCATTCTTTCCTTGTGTGTGGTATTTGTGTGTATGTGTGTGTGTATGTGTGGTACTTGTGTGTGTATGTGTGTATGTGTGGTATTTGTGTGTGTGGTATTTGTGTGTGTGGTATTTGTGTGTGTGGTATGTGTGTGTGTGGTATTTGTGTGTGTGTTATTTGTGTGTGTGTGTATGTGTGTGTGGTATTTGTGTGTGTGTGTGTGTGGTCTGGTGAGCACCAACCGTATGCAGTTCCCAAGGACAGGAATGTGCCAATGGGGCTGCCAAGGCACAGAGAGGTGAGGTAACTTGTCCCATGTCATCCCACGACTGAAGGGAAGAACCAGAATTGCACCCAGGCTGCCTGGCCTCAGGGTCTTCTTCACCATGTCACTGCTGCTCTACCGGAATACCCTGTCATAGCACTGCTGCCCTGTCCATCTCTCCCACTGCTGGTGTCTGAGGCCCAAGTGGGTAGAGAGAGTTTTACTCATTCTTGTCTTCCCAGCATATATCAGACGCTTGCTATGTATGTGTTGTGTGAATGAATGGCCAGAGTACCAGGGTCAGAGCAGGAAACAAGAACAGAAGATGTTGCTGTGGAGGAAAGGAAGGTGAGCGGCTGGCTCCAGGGCCCCCCTCACTCGGCGAGCCCGGGGGACGTTTTCAGGACCAGGGACCAGGTGCCAGGCTGAGGACCAACTGCCAAGTCCCAGTGCTGACATGATCCCCACCTCGCTTGGATAAGAGCAGCCCTGGCCCTCCAGCAATTGTCCTCAGCCCTGTGCCCATCGCTCTGCCCCAGATCCTTCTCCAGGACAGTAGAATAGGTGGTACCCTCCTGGTCCGGGTTACAAAAACCAGGGCCACTCAGATACACAGGTTCCATTCATCTCAGGTTAAGTCCGTGCCCACAGTCACAGGAAACGCCTCTTAAATATCAATGTCACTTCCCACATGCACTGGACCCAGGTGGCCCACACAATGAGTCTTGGGATTTAACACTGGCCATGTCTGAGCCTGAAGGTGATGGATGAACTTCCGGAAAATGCCGCCCCAGTCTTGGCAGCCAAGTGGAAACCACATCCCTCCCCTGATGTGCAGCTCTGGGTCACAGCGGAGTCCCACAAGGGGTCAGGGGTGAAGCTACCAAGCATTCACTGAGTTGCAGATGAGCCAGGAGAGGGAGGAAGCCAGGTGGCAGCCCAGGGAGACCACAGCAGGCTGGGAAGACAAGGGGAGGGCAACGCCCCAGGAAGTGCACTTCGAATGCGACCTGTGCCCCGGGAGCATGCAACTGAACTGAGCCTTAAAGAACTAGTAACTTCTTATTTAATCCTGGGAAGAGGGTGACCCCTCAGGTGAAATTGGAGGCTTCCTGGAGGAGGAGGGGCTACTTCAGAGGCTCGGAGCCTGTCCCTCACTCAGTTTGTCCCTTGTTCCCTGAGCCTTATGAATCAATCCCTTAGGGACAGTGGGATTGATAGTGAGAAGTAGACAGGCAGGTCTTCTCACTCCCATTTTCTCAGCTCCAGCATCCACCTTCACTGTTTGCAGCACTAGAATCACCCCATAGAGCTTAACATAATAAACACCATTGCCCTAGGAGGTTTGGTTCAGTGGATAGAGCATCAGCTCGAGAACTAAAGGGTCCCAGGTTTGATTCCAGTCAAGGACACGAAGTCAGTTGCTGGCTTCATCCCCGGCCTAGGTCCAGTGTGTGTAAAAGGCAACCAATCGGTGTGTCTCTCTCAGATCGATGTTTCTCTCTCTCCATCCCTTCCATTCTCTCTAAAAAATCAATGGGAAATATTAATGAGGAAAGCCCTCTGCTTGGAGTTCCTTATTTGATCCCTCCAACAGCCCGGGTGTCTTTGTCCTCATTTTAAAGATGAGAAACTGAGGCTCCAGGTTGTTGGCGTGGTGCCTGGCCTGAGTCCTAGGAGAGTAGGTACTAGCCAGGCAGAGAAGCTAGGATGTGTGGGGGAGTATGCTCAGCATGCAGAGTCCCAGGCCCCCAGCATCTGGTGGGACTGCTTCATGGAACAACGGAATTTGGGAATGACAAAGGTAAAAGGGTTTTCTTCTTTCCACCCACTTCCTTCGCCAGCCTTGGTCACATCTCCCTTGGCCTTTCCTTACTGGTATCTCCTTCAAATGTCACCTCTTCAGAGAAGCTGTATTTGCCAATCCATTAGTAAAAATCATTTCCCACCCTAGCCAGTTTGGCTCAGTGGGCAGAGTATTGGCATGTGGACTAAAAGGTCCTGGGTTCGATTCCAGTCAAGGGCACATACCTTGGTTGCAGGTTGGATCCCCAGCTCTGGTAAGGGCAGAGGCAACCAATCATCGATGGATGTATCTCTCCCACATCCATGTTTCTCTCTCTGTCCGGGCGTGCGGAGGCAACCAATCAACGTGTCTCTCTCACATCAATGTTTCCTCTCTGTCTCTCCTATTCCCTTCCACTCTCTCTAAAAATCAATGGAACAATATCCTCAGGTGAAAACAAAACAAACAAACAAACAAACAAAAATGTCACCTCCCCTGTCTCTTCCCCCCTTATCCTGCCACTTTTCTCCAAAGCAGTGCCCCCCATAGTGTGGTCCTGGGGCCGCTACCAGCCTTGCACTGTCATCTGTCCCAAAATGGAGAGTATTTGGATGTTATATAGCAACTTTTCTAGTAATTCACTATAATTGTATTTTACAAAAGAATTGGTCCAAGACAAATTAGAAAATTTAAAGTCATTCTTCACCCCCAGGAATCTGAGAGACGTGCTTGAAGCACTATTGCCACCTGACAGTCATGTTCTCATTTGGTGTTTAGCTTCTGTCTCCCATCTACACCATCCAGTCCACACAGCAGGACTCGCTCTGCTTTGTGCACTGCCAGTTCCCCCGCCTGGCACAGTGCCTGGCACATAGCGGGCACTCAATACTTACCGGTTGAATGAATGTGTGAGTGAGTAAAGCAAGCAGTCCCAAGTAGATGCTGTAAGTCTCTGGTCACTTTTGGTTATCGAAACTCAACCCAATCCACTTGGTATCATGTTGAGAAGCCCAGCCTTTATAGGTTATAGGGTCAGAGGGGGCTGTGGTGGGTTCAGACAGGGGATGGTCAGGTTGGGTTAGAGAACTCACTTCAGAGGCCGTGTCAGAGCCCACACCAGAGAGGTGGGACCATCCGCAGACTGAGCAACTAGCCCTGCCCTAGCCCCAAATCTTAGAGGGTCCCACTTTGGCTCTCCTCTGGCCATGTCCCTCCCTGGGTGAGGATTCTGCAAGGCCAAGGGGTCCTGCCCACCACGAGGAGTCCATGCCCACCTTCTAGACCACACTCCAGGTGTCCAAGATTCCAGAATTCCCTGCAAATCCACTTCTGGCACCTGGCACCTACCTGGGCCTCTGCCCACATCAGCCTTCCGCAGGGCAGACCACACAGCCATTATTCAGAAGCCTCGGCCCATGAAGTGGCCAATGGGAGCTGTTCGCAGAATGAGAACAGGCGGGGTGCCCACACACGTGCAGTCAGAGCCAGGGCAGGCCATGAGCCAGAGCCTTCCAGTTTCTTGCTCCCCGACCTGCAAATGTGAAGGTTTGGATGTGAGGCACAGAGATCCTTAAACAGTGGTCCTCTTACCTTGGGATCACCTGGTGTCAGGGTCCAGCCACTCCCCTTCAGGTGGATTGGTCTGAGGTTAGGAGTGAGTTAGGCCCCCCAGCTGGCTCTCATGGGTGGCCAGAGTTGAGAGGCATTGCTGGAGAGATGCTGCCACAGTCCAGGCGAGAGGGGCAAGGAGAGAGAGGAGGGCCCGCGCTGGGGAAAGTGGGAGAGGTCCCTGTGTGGGGGACTGGATCTGAGCTGGGTCTGTGCATGTGCAGTTTATTTTTATTTTTTAAAGATTTTTTTATTGCCTAGTTGGTGTAGCTCAGTGGAAGAGTATAGACCTATGAACCAGGAGGTCAGGGTTCAATTCCCGGTCAGGGCCTGGGTTGCAGGCTCAATCCCTACCGGGGGGGTGTGCAGGAGGCAGCCAACCAATGATTCTCTCACATCATCGATGTTTCTCTCTCTTCCTTCCTCTCTGAAATTAATAAAAACATATTTTTTAAAAGATTTTTAAAATTGATTTTTACAGGGTGAGGAAGGGCGAGGGAGAGAGAGAGAAACATCAATGTGAGAGTGAAACACGGATGGGCTGCCTCCTGCACACCCCCTCTACCAGGGATCAAGCCCGCAACCTGGGCATGTGCTCTGACTGGGAATCGAACCGGCAACCCTTCAGGTGCACAGGACGACACCCAACTAACTGAGCCACACCAGCCAGGGATGTCCATGTGGAATTTAACAGGCAGGTGGATAACAGCCTGGATCTCAAGTTGGGAATTACTAGCACATCAATGGCTGAAACCGTGCCCTTGGCTAAGAGTGGAAGACATGTTGAACCAAGAGGGGAACTTCATTTGTGCCTCCAAACTCCATCCTCCATCTGCCAATCCATTCCTCGATCCCAGGATCAGCTCACCCAGAGCAGGCTGGTTGGGGGAAAACCTTACTGACACTCTGAATGCTCTTCTTCCCCCTCTCACTCCACCCCTGCTCCCCCACTCCCACACCCCTGCACCCCTCTCCTTTTCTCCCCCCTGCCCCCTTGGCCTGGCCTGTCCCCTCTCCCTTCCTGGCACTTGTCCCCCCACAAGGTGAAGGTCTGGTTCCAGAACCGCCGCACCAAACAGAAGAAAGACCAGAGCAGAGACCTGGAGCAGCGGGCGTCCTCCGCGTCCGAAGCCTTCGCCACCTC